GCATCGCATTGTAAATTTGAACAATCACGAAACGAATGGTTGTGATTCAAGGACTACCTCTACTTCCTTTCACTAAGGGATTGGACACACACTTGAATTTTCCTTTTTGTAAAATTCCCTAAATCCATGATGGCAAACCCGTGGCACGCATGCCACAGGTGGCACCCAGAGCCTTCTCTGCGGACACACGAGCCTTTGCCCCAGCTCAGTTCCACCGCACAAGCACACAGCCCTCTCGCCAGATTTTGGGGTCTCTTCTGCACATGTGTGGGGGCGCACACGCATACGTGGGGGGTGGCACCCCCTTATGGCCCATTTTTGGTCCCAGGAAGCTCAATGGAGGCCTGCTAAGCCAAAAACGGGATGCTGGGGGGGTGTCACGCACACATGCACGGGGAGGTGGGGGGAGCGCACGGATGCACAAGGGGTGGGGCGTGCAGGGAGGTGTCGCACGAGCATTGCATTATGGGTGCAGGTAAGGTTATCCATCACTGCCCTAAAGCGTTTTCCCCCTTCCCCAAACAGAACATGCTAAGTTTAGCCTTCTGTTTCTCTCCAATTCCAAAAGGTGTAAAGTGTGCCTTTAAAGGACATGATCCTATACAGGAAGCTGATGTGTTTCATCTGGTTGTGCTTTTTCAGAAATGTCCAGAAAGAAGACCGGCTTCCCATGGCTGAAGAATATAACGAATACAAACAAGTTAAGGCCAAGCTGAGGCTGCTAGAAGTCCTCATCAGCAAAAGAGATTTAAGTTCCAAGATCATGTAATAAAGCTACGCTGGATTTGCCACTAACGTTAAGACGTCGATGCAGCCAAATAACACAAAAGAACTCAGCAAGAAGCTGTACTACCACGAAGGGCTTTAGTGGCTCTCCTTGACTGTCGTGGGCAGAAGGTGGCAGTGTGAAGGAGGGATGGTCCTGCATCTCTTGTCACAGACTTATGACCTGTCCTACTAGCAGGGCTGGCAAGACCAGAATGGGGGTTGGCCCACTAAAACGACACTGCTTCCCAAGTTTCCTTTTGCTTTTCATCCGTTGGTGGCCTGCAGTTGCTTGGACTAAAACAACGACAAAACAAAGAGACCTCAACTTTGATCTTCTTTGGAGCATCAGTGTAAGAAAGGTGATCCAGTTACAAGTTCTCACGAATCTCCAAATAATGGCCTGTAATTTTCAGACCAATAAAAGCAATCAGGTCTGTTCTAATAATGGGATGTATGTTCTGAAACCATTTGGAGAGGGTTGGTAGGGTCCCTCTTGAAAAATCTCATCTTTTGACCGCAGGGTTTTTTGTTGTTATTGTTGGTACGTAATTCTTTTCTTAACGTCCTCCAACTGAAAGTGGAATTGCCAATTGGTGGAGAACTGTTAAGCGTGGACTGCCTTGGCTTTCAATACAGCTGCTTTATTTTTATATATATAAATATATAAAAACGAAAATACACTTTCTTACTAACAAGCTTTTCAGAAATGTTATTACACAACTCCTACATCCGTTCGACCTGGAGGACAGAAAACATTGTGGAAGTGGACCTTGGAAAAATTGGGTTTGGTTGACAGGACCCTACACAAGAGTAGGAAAAGGAATGGAGTGATCTTGGTAGCCAAGGTATTCTGATATAACCCATAATATAATGGATTTCAGACAATGTCTGGGAAGGGTTTATAATGTTTTATCTTTGTCCTTGATGTGAAGATCGGGAATAATGGACAAGTGTCCTCGAAAAGCAGAAGATTGTCACTGGAGTTTTCTTCTGCAAGAATGGCGTTTCCCACAATCTGCTCTTGATTTGTGTCTGATCGTAATGGAATCCACTTTATTGATGCCCGTAGTTCTGAGAATTTTCTCTTGCACATACTGGGGCAAAATGCGCCGAGATTTTTCAACAAGCTGATTTCATGCAAAAGGTTTCCATAGGCTTAGAAAGCATCAAAATGTGGACTTTTAAAATGAAATGAATGACAATGCCCGTTTGTCTCATACCCTTATAATTTTTGTAACCCAAATAAGGTGGATGCGGTACTGATCTCGGGCAAAAAAAAATTTCCAGTTCATGTTTAGTTGAAGCTCTGTATGGCTTTGACGTTGGTGTATACTTTCAAATCTCTTGAGCAAAATGGTAGATCGTAGAACAATGCACTTTAGAAAGAAACTTATATTTTTTTAGAAAATGGAAAACAGATTTTTTTAAGAAAAGTAACCAAATCTGTACCTAAATAAAGGAAAAAAAAACATTTCATCTACCTGACTTTTCTGTTATGCCATTTTTAAAGGAAGGAAAAATATGTTAAAAACCTTAAAATTTGCCTAGACAAATAGGCAGCTGATTGGAAAGTGTGTTTATAGATGCATTCCTTTCGAAGCACCAGCATTAGGAAATCCTTACACATGTGCTTGATACAATGAATAATATCAGCATTTAACAGAAATGATTTCCACCTCGAAAAATCATGTTAAAAATATAATTATCAAATCCAAAACGATTAATTTAATGCTCAACCAACCAACCAAAATAATTGAAATGTTGGACCCAAATGAATGAAATATAGCTAAAGATTCTAAAATCTAATTCTCTCAGCTTAAAGTAGCTTTAGACTTGTTTTTTTCTCAACAATTAGCCTATTGTGGCACATAATAAGCTGCTTGTGAAAGGAAATACACTTCAAATGAAGAACCAAAGGAAACACTTTGTACTCTAATAATAAGTGCTTTAGCATAACTCTATATAAAGTTTCCTTTATATACAACCCTGTGATCCTTTAATTCAGGGTGACTGGATGAAGCTGAGCATTTACTGGCCGGATGCCCTTCCTGATGCCATGCAAAGTTCACAGCATTTATTTTTGCTTTGTGCCGTAGGAAAGAAATATCTGCCACTGCGCAGGTTTGAACTCTCAACCTTCCAAATGGAAGGCAAGCATCTTTACCACTAGGCCACCACGCTGCTCAG